GGGGGGAAGGTGTGGGAGCAGGGAGGAAAAAAAAATGAGTGAAGACAGCGGAAAAGAAACACTGTGATGTCACAGTGTAGCGTGACATCACTTCTGCCTCTGCTGTCTTCCCTTCTGGCCTCAGAAGCAGAGGTTGGCACGTCAATGTCCTGGCCTCTGCAGGGTTGTCCAGCCACAGCACTGAAATGAGCAAGAGCTTCAAGCTGTGTGATCGCTGTGGGGTCATGGCTGGCAAGACAGGACCTTTGAACTGAGCCAGCTGCCAGCCTGTTGGCATTTCCAAATGATCAAACTCCCCTGATCACTTCCGCCCAGCTTACTAATCTTATGGGTTCTGGCCTCACTATGCCCTCACGTGGTAGAATCCCCTTGGCTTATAAAGGCACTAATCTAGTTCCTGAAACCTTATCATGAGCACCCCAAGTCCCACTTCTTAATGCTGTCATGTTGGGAGGGAGGAGTTGAGCATGTACACTATGGGGAGATCCAGCCACCGGAGCATCTGGAATTGAGTTGAACACTGCCCTCCTGCCTGATCTCCCAGGTGTAAAGACCAGCATGCAGAATCCCTCTGGCTATGGAACAACAACCGCAGCAGGGAAAAAGCAGAGGACCTGGAGTATAATAGGCCTATATAAAAGTAGTGTGAAATGTACCAGAGAGCAAGTCTGGAACTCTCAAAATCTCCCAGATAAGTTTCTGAGCGCTCCCAAGTGTCCCTTAATGGTTCTTTTCTGGGCAAAAGCCCTGTAAGAGATGAGCTTCAGGGATCCCATTGCAGATTGGTCGCTTTCGTGTCTTAGTTAATCAGGCCCTAATTCCTTTAAACAGTTTGTAATCTTATAACTTCATTATTGTCGTCGGGGGTGAGGGTGGGTTGGGTTGGGTTGGCAGCACATGCCTTTAGTCTCAGCATTTGGGAAGTAGAGGCAGGTTGATCTGAGTTTGAGGCCAGTCTGGTCTATTAAATAAATAAATAAATAAATAAATAAATAAATAAATAAATAAATAATCCTTTCCATTCCCATTCTTGCATCCTTATTCAAGTCTTTTTCAAATTCATTTTATGTGTACAGGTGTACTGCCTGCAGGGCTTCAACGGGTTCTCAACCACCCTAAGGAGGGAATGTAGGGACAGGAGATACAAAGGAAAACACACCAAGTCTAGATTCTGATCAAGGTGCAACTTTATTTCCGTCCAGAAGGGTTTATATAGTTCCTGCAGGGTGGGGGGAAGCAAGAAGCTGCCATCTGCATAAGGTGGGGCAAGCTAACAGGATGTTTGTATAGGATGTTTACAGGGTGAGAGGGTCAAGGGCTCTGACTCAATGTCCTGTTGCTAGGCAACCTGACTGTAAGATGATCTAGTTCCCTGTCTTATCGGGGGTCTGTATTTTTCCACTAACTAGAGATTCTGTCCTTGGCCCTGACATGCCTGCATGTATGTCTATGTTTCAAGTATGGGTCATGCCCAGGGGGTCCAGAAGAGGATATCAGAAAGGCATCAGATACCCTGGAACTAAGTTTACAGACAGTCAAGAGCTGCCATGTGGGTGCTGGGCATTGAACTCAGGACCTCTGGAAGTGCTTCCAGGGCTCTTGACTGCTGAGCCATCTCTCCAGCCTGATCCAAGTCCTTTTACTTCACATCTTGAGGATTATCTGGGCCTCTTACCTGAGGCCTCCAAATGACCACTTTTCCAAATCCAATACTTTGCTCATTTCTACTCCACAAACTGGCTCTATTACTCTTTTCCCGTTAGAGTAATGTTCCCCACACAGGATTTTCTATACACTATTCCTGCTCAAGAGCAGATTATGACACCTGAGTACAGTGACACATGCCTGTAATCACAGAACTCTGGAGGCACAGGCAGGAAGATGAGTTCAAGGCCAGTCTTAGACACATGGCTAGTTTGAGGAATACCTGATACCCTGTCTTGTAACACGAATCTTAAAAGGTCTTATAATAAAAAACCCAGAGCCAGATATGGGTGGGGGTGAAAGCTGAAAGATCAGAGAAACAGAACAAGCCAGCCACGTTCTTACCTCTACAAAATCCTCAGCTTCAAGAGCGTGAGTTCCCGTTTCCTCATGCCTTGTATACCTTTCTGTGTCCTGCCATATTACTTCCTGGGATTAAAGGCTTGTGTCCTTCCCAAGCAAAGATATGAGATCTCAAATGCTGGGATTAAAGGTGTATGCCACAACATGCCTGGCTCTGTTCCCAGTGTGGCCTTGAACTTACAGAGATCCGTCTGGATCCAGACGGATCTCTGCCTCCCGAGCGAGGATTAAGGGTGTGTGCCACCACTGCCTGTCCTCTATGTCTGACCTAGTGGCTGGCTCTGTCCTCCAACCCCCAAGTAAGTTTATTAGGGTACACAATATATCACGACACCATCTCACAGAACAGCTATGCTATGACTCAAGAATAGTCAGGACTGAAGAGATGTGTCAGTGGTTAGGAACACATAATGCCCTTGCAGAGGACCTGGGTTAAATTTCCAGTATCCATCTCAGGCAGCTAACAACTGCCAGTGATTCCAGCTCCAGAGGGACCCGATATCTCTTTCATGGGCATTGCACTCACATGTATACACTCTCTCAGACACCTAAATAAACATAAAACATCTTCTCCGAAAAGCCTAATCTATGGTTCTTACTGCCAAATCTTTTTGCCTAGCATTCAAGGATGCAACTTGGCCCTAGTCTATCTCACCAAGTGTCATCCACCTCTCACTAACATTGCTCTCAGCTGGGGCCCCAATGGCATAACAGTTATACACTCAAGAGGCTACCTGGTGGAGGGAGAACAGTCCCTGGAGGGGAACGAATCTGGTGGGATTCACATCCTAGGTGTGTCATCAGCTGGTGGCCATGGGCAAGTCATGAATATTTCTGGGAAATTTCAGTTCCCACGGCTGTATAGTTAAGGACAACAATACAGTGTTGGGATCACACATACTACCACTCGGGCTCCGCAGGGTAGCTCTTGCATTTCTGCCTATACTTTCTCTTCTGCTCTCTGCCTGGAGAAAATGGCCCTTTTCTCCCACTCAAGTATCCCATTTCTCATCTGGGTGGTTTACCCTAACAACAAAACCCCTTTCTTCTGAATTATAGAAACATATGGCTCTAGGCCTGTGGGCTCTGGCCTCCTGGGGTTGGGGATTTCAGATGTACTGCTAGAGGCCCTGAAATCTTTTGGTACACACAAGATTAAGTGTGAACACTAAATAATACGCCTTGCAAAGGCACATATGATTGTCAGGTTACGGTAAAAAATTACTTTTAAGTATTTCTTAATTTCTAATTTGTTCTTTCTACATCAGGGCTTACTAAAATCATCCTGGGGAAATGAAAAGCTCTTCTCTCCTAGTGGAAAGTAGTGAGGACCTGCCATAAGACTTGTTCTCTGTACACTGATCTTACAGACTATTTTCTCTAGCCTTTTCTTCCTTTTTTTTTTAAATGATTTATTTATTTTTATTTTATATGCATTGATATTTTGCCTGAATGTCTGTGTGAGGGTGTCAGATCTCCTGGAATTAGAACTACAGATAGTTGTGAGTTACCATGTGGGTGCTAGGAATTGAACCTGGGTCCTCTAGAAGAGCAGTCAGTGCTCTTAACCACTGAGCCACCTCTCCAGCCTTTTCTATATTTATATGCTTCCTTAATCACTGGATCACAACACTGACCAAAGCATACCAGTTTTTAAAATTTCATCTATCCAGTGGTTTGCATACTGCATGTGGTTGAAATTGTCACTCAGCTGAAAGCGTAGTTCCAAACTACTTTTGGCCCAGATAATGTCCGTGTCGGGACACTTGCACTCAGGTCTGTCTTGAACCTACCCTGGTGGTAAAAAACACTGAGGCAGAACAGAACCAGCCTTCTTTGGGTCATCAGGAACTGCCTAGAGACCCCTAGGTCTAGGGAGTAACAGATCTCAGTGGAAATTTCCCACCTTCTGCCCTCCCCAAGCCCCTGTGTCTGCCCCTTATCAGGTTCCCCCTGAGTCATCCTGACCCAGAGACGAATTTAGATGCTGGAACCTTCCAGTCTATCCCTCCCCCTCTCCAAGTACGTCTACATTAGACACGTGAAAGAAACCTGCAGGCTGAAGTGCTGGGTCCAGGTTCTCCTGATCTCTACCTGCCACCAGGGCTGTCCAGTTATTTCTTATCTTACGCATCTGGCGCTCTGATCTCCGTTCCAGCATTCTCTTGTCTGGGAGAGCATGAAACCTGCACGCTGGGGCTAGGCAGAAAGCTAGTGCCGAGTTTCTGTGCCAGTTTCTAGGGCAATACTTACGAAGGGAGCAGGAGAAAAGAACAGATGAAAACTTGAGGCTCCGTTTGGGGGATATAGGAAGCTCTTTAGGTCTAGGGTGTTGTTTTTTTTGAAAGCTGGATTTGAGCCTACCCAGGTCTCCTCCTCCTCCCTCTTGGCCTTTCCTTCTTTCCAACAGACCCTGCCAAGTGGGGATGAAAGGGGCATTGATGTTCCTTGGGGAGGGGGGCTGTGGGTGGTGAGGGTAGTTCCCAGGCAGGGGGGAGGGCAGTTTTGGGGTCTTAGGGGGAGCAGTCTGTGCTGGTGTTGCAGTTGGCAGCTCCTGTTCCATTGGACATTGTTTTCAACTGGCCTGGCGCCCAGCCCCCGAAATGGCAAGTCTGGAACTAGGCTGAAGGGGGATGGGGTAGGGTTGATCCTGGGAGCAGGGGTGCGAGAACGAGGCCATGTGGGGAAATTCAATCTGGTTGCCCAACACAACTTTCAGTCTCCACAGCCGTCAACTATTCCACTCCAGCAAGCCTTCCTTTAAAGAGCACAAGGGAGGATTGTCTCAGATGTGAATCTTGTGGAAGTCTAGGATAGGATGGTAAACCCACCTAGGCACGAGAGTCGGCCCTGGAGACAGGAACTCAGGAGAGAGACATCTGCCACGGGGAACTACCGCTCAGTCTTTCTGAGCAGATCTCGCCCTCCTTTTCGGGGTTGGACTGGGAGGGGTTAGCGCCTCGGCCACAGGGTCTCTTGGGTCTCAGCCCAGGACATCTAGTCCTCCCCAAACCCTTACTCCACCCCTGCAGGGTTAGCTCCGCCTCCGCGCCTGTTTACACGGGAGTCAGAGCCCTTGGGGGGTCCCCGGCCCCTCCCCTACGCCCCTCCCTTCCCCCCTCCCGCGTTGGGGCCTTGACCCGGGAGTCGCCGTTGGCCATCATCTTCCCCCTCCTTCGTTCACCCTCTATTTATAGCGGCCCCCAGCATTTCCACACCCCCCCCCCGCCCGCCCCTGCTTGTTGTCCAACTTCTCACAGAGCGGCCGGAGAGCAGGCGGCGGGACTCGACTGAGGAGGTACCAGCACCCCATGCGCTCGGAATTCCTGCGCCCTCGACGCCCTGTCCCCAGACTCGCTGGCACCACTGCCCCTACCTGCCCGGAGACCGGGTCTGAGCGATGGCCCTCGCCCACCTCCCCCTTCCTTGACCTAGCTCTCTGCTTCCGGGCGGGCGGAGCTGAAACCGTGGGACGTGGGCACCTTGGGTTGGCCTCCCGGCTCGATCCGTCGCCGCCACTCAATCTGGGGGGCTAGGAAGAGAGCCAAAAGTGAGCCTGGCAGAGCCAGGTCACAGTAGGGGGCGCCGCTGAGGTGGGCGTGGAGGTCCTTTGGAGGCTTATGGGGTCCCCACGCACAACCCACTTCACCCGGCTCGAGGTGGTGGGGAGCAACCGGAGGAGAGCCTACGAGCATCCCCGCAGTGTGTTCCCGAGCCTCCCCCTCTCGCCCCTCCCCGAGCGGCCTGGGCGAGGTACCCTCGCGTGTTTATGGGGGTCGGGGCGGATCTACAGGGAGATGGCCCAGGGGCGGGCCCGGGGCGGGTCTGTGGGGAACCAAAGCTTAGGGCGGACCTAAGTCAAAGGCAACTGAAGGTGGCAGCGACCGCGGCGGCTGCAGCAGGTAGGGGGAGGGGCACGCGCGCCGCCGGGCTGGGAAGGCGCCGGCCCCGAGGGTGGGCATTGTGGTCCTTGGTCCCCGGGCTGCGGGTCCGGGGAAGGGGCTGGCCGAGAGAGGCGCTCCGCTGCTGCGCACCAAGGCGGAGGCGCTGCAAAGTGCAGGACGTGTTTGGGACGCGCTGGAGATGGTGTCCCGGGTCCTGGGCGCTACGTGTCGGCCGTGCGAGGGTGTTGGTCCGGAGGAGGACCGGCCGCCGGGGACTCATGGGGACAGGTTTCGGGTTCTGGGAGCGGCCAGTCACAAGTCCTACCCATCCTTTCCCGGCTGGCATGTGCAATCGGGGAAGCCCGGAGGTTACGGGACCGCCCGATTCCCCCTCCGTTTTCTCCACTAGACCTCCAATTAGACTGGGTGGAGGAAAGAGAGAGATGAAGGCATGAAGCTTGTTTGTTTTTAAATGGTGGAGGAAAACGTCATTCTCTACTACCTACTTATCAACTGAGAGCTGTCAAAAACTGAGTCGTAACCGACCGGACAAGGTCACATGGTCGTGGCAGCAGGGTAGGACCCAGAGGTTCTGACACAGTCATGCTGTCGCCATGTCACCGGCGCGGACCTGCTCGTGTTGCCCCGCATGCCTCTCCAGCTTGTATTGATTGAAGCTTAGAGAGGACGTGTTCTCTGGACTCAGTCGAGATTAGGGTTAGTGACCCTGGGAGTCTGGGTCTTGGCTGTGTCGGTATGTCCCTAAAAGAGCCAATCTATCTCCCATGTCATTCACCTTATTCCTATGTTTTCTCGGACCCCAGAGTCATGACTAAGAACCCTGACCTCTAGTCTCACCGCGCCCAGCCAATAGGAGCTCAGTAAATTGACCCCACCCACACCCCCAAACTGCCGGCTTCTTTCTTTGCAAGTCTGTACAGGTGCTCCGGTGCCCTGTAGACCTTCCAGGGTTGATGTACGCCCCTTATCCTGTACTTTGGAAGGGAGACTTTTGAGTCGCTAGAGGAAGGGAGACTTTGGTTGGATTGGATATCTGTGTCCCTCTGTTGAGTACTTCCAGTTGGTCATTGCCTTGGTCATTTTTAGCCTCTTGAGATGCTGACATTGGAGCTATAGTTGAAGGTCATAGTCAATTGTGAGCGCTCACTGCCCGATCCCTTGGTACATTTACAGTGTACCCAGTCAGTGAGCTATGACAGGGAGTGTGGGGTGTCCCCTAAATATAGCTTAAGAAACTGGAGCCCCATTTCTTCCCCACCCTAGTGTTTCCCTCCAGGATAGGACAGGGTGTTGTGGGATATTCAAGAGGGAGGAACGTCCCGGGGTGTGAGTGTTAGAGGTGGAGGGGCAGCCGTGGGGCCTGGCAGTCTGAAGAGCTGTGCTCTCCTGATTCTGTCGTCTTTTGCAGCCCTCCTGGTTATCCTGGGAGTGGGGGAGGGGAGCCAGAAAAGCTCTCTGTCTCTGCACCCCGTGTTGACCTGGTCTGGGAGAATAGAGAGGAGGAGTGAGGTTGATCAGCCTTCCAGTCTTATTGTTTTCTTTCTTTCTTTCTTTCTTTCTTTCTTTCTTTCTTTCTTTCTTTCTTTCTTTCTTTCTTTCTTTCTTTCTTCTTCTTCTTTTTTTATTTTTTGAGACAGGGTTTCTTTCTCTAGCCCTGGCTGTCCTGAAACCCATTCTATAGATCAGGCTAGCCTTGAACTCACAGAGCTCTGCCTGCCTCCTAAACGTGGTAGAATTAAAGGCGTGCACCACCACTGTCTGGCTGGTTTATGGTTTTCTTAATCCTGCCAGGGCACCATGGCAGAGCTGCAGGAGGTGCAGATCACCGAGGAGAAGCCACTGTTGCCAGGACAAACGCCTGAAACTGCCAAGGTTAATGGTGACCTTTTGACTCCCTGCTTCTGTCCCACACTCTGGAAAATCCCCCGTAAGCCTCCGGCTTCCCCAGGCCCACGGCGCTCAGGCTAACGCACATCCGTCCCTCCTTTATCCATCTCCTGCCATCGTCGTCTCTTGTCCTAGACATTGTAAACGGGAGCCCAGACCTGGCTTGTCACTAACCTCCATCCTCTCCTGTCTCGTTCCTGTCGATCTTCTGTGTCTCTGTTGGTTTCTGTTTGTGTTTCTGTTGGTCTCTCTTTGCCCACCTCGTTGTGTCTCTCTCCACTTGTGATTCTCCGTGGTGTGTGTCTGTGTGTGTCTCTCCAGGAGGCTGAGTTAGCTGCCCGAATCCTCCTGGACCAGGGACAGGTAACTGTGGGGCGAGGGCCAGGGCGGGAGGGTGAGCTCTTCTCTCCCCCAGTATTGAGAGGGCCCCAGTCTGGCTCTTTCCACTCCTCCGCCCCCACTCCCCACCTTTCTCTTCCCCTTTTCTCTCCTTTGAGTTCCTTAATCTGCAGTCTTCCATTACTTTCTACCCTCCAACCCAGTTCCACTGTCGTGGTTTCCTAAGAACCCATCGATTCTGTGTTTAGCCAATTCTTCACTTCTTCTTTCTGCCTCCCCCTTTTTGGAAATTTTCAGTATATGTTCTCCCTGATGGTGACCTTTTCTCTTACAGACTCACTCTGTGGAGACACCTTACGGCTCTGTCACCTTTACCGTGTATGGCACCCCTAAACCCAAACGCCCAGCGATCTTCACCTACCATGATGTAGGACTCAACTGTAAGACCTTCGTTTCTTCTCCTTTCTGGGAAGAGGCAGGGGAGCGGGGAAACCCAGTGTGTCTGGGGGGCGGTCGTCAGTATGGCCAGCCAGGGAGCCCGGTGACACACCAGAGAGAATTTCTCCTCCGCTTTAGCTGGCATCAACGCAAGGGGATGGGCTCTGGCATGAGGATACTTTTTCACTTCTGATTTTGTTGTTGGGGGGATGTGGATTCTCTTTAGATAAATCTTGCTTCCAGCCACTGTTTCAATTCGGGGATATGCAAGAGATCATCCAGAACTTTGTGCGGGTTCATGTGGATGCCCCTGGAATGGAAGAGGGGGCTCCTGTGTTCCCTTTGGGGTAAGAATTAGTTCCTTACCCCTTTTCATAAGCAGGGGTGTGTCGGGGGGGTGAAAGGGAGTGCACAGTGCACTCTGGAGGAGGCAGAGAAGACGCTGGCAGAGGATATGGAGCTTACTCCAAGGAAGAGGTATATGAGGGCAGCTTGGTAACCTCAACATTTCTCTCTTTTCTAGGTACCAGTACCCGTCTCTGGACCAGCTTGCAGACATGATTCCTTGCATCCTTCAGTACTTAAAGTGAGAGGCCCCGGGAGTCCTTCAAGCCAGTTTTCTTTTCAGCCTAAGGAAGCCCTTAGAATGTGGTCACCATGGTTCCTGGGCTAACTTTGGTCTCAGTATATCCTTCCTCTTCTGTGCTTTTCACCTTGGTCGTTAGGAGGAAGGGCAGTGGGCTTGGAATGTTGACTGGAACTATCAGAGCAGTCTCACTACTAAGCGAGAGAAAGAGGATGAAGGGTGAGGGGCAGCTTCTCTCTCTGATCTGGAAATTAGGCAAGAAGAGGTCCAGGTGTCTCATCCCCGAGGAACGAGATAGACCTGTCTTGGTCCCCGTTCCTGTCCTTCCTTAGTCACGTTTGTCCACCGGCAGCCCGGTGTGTAAGACAGAGAGAGACGGAAGATCAGACTCACAAGGGCCCTCTGGCCTGCAGAAGAAGATACTGATTTCTGGGTGTTCTCTTTCTCTCTCAGATTTATTTATTTTTATTTTATGTGTATGAGTGTTTGCCTACCTATATGTATGCATTGCCACATGTATACATGGTGCCCACAGGGGCCAGAAGAAAGTATTGGAGCCCCTGGAACTTAAGATAGAGATTCTTGTGAGCTACCATGTAGTAGCTGGAAGTCCAGTCTGGGTCCTCTGCAGGAGCATCCAAGTGCTCTTGACTTCTAAGCCATCTTGCCAGCCTGATTCCTGGGATCTTTTCTTGGCTTAGCTTTTCCTGGGCACCCTGGTTCTCAGTGACTCTGGTTTACTTCCTTGCCTGTCTCCTCCATTCTTCCAGTTCACTAACATCACACCTGTTTCATATTTTGCTTTAAAATCCATAGCTCCCGTTCCTCTGTGGAATCAGGGCTGAGAACAAGTTTGAACTCATTTCCGAGAGTTGAGAATGAATAAGCTGTGTGTGTGTGTGTAGGAAGAGATGTGTTTCTTTTCAAGACACTAGTTCTCCAAGAGGAAGCTGAGCCTAGGCTTCAGGGATCTACACTAAGTACCAGGCATTCGTGGGGCCTTTCTTTTTTACTTCCCCAAAGGGAAAGGGCTTTTGCTGTCCTCTTTTGTGGCTATGACCTCAGGAAGGATGGTGAGAAGTTTGAAGAGATTGGGCTGTGACAGATTTTGGCTGCCAGAGCCTGTGACGCCTACATTTCCCTTCTACAGTTTCTCGACAATAATTGGAGTTGGTGTTGGAGCTGGAGCCTACATTCTGTCACGATATGCTGTAAGAAGCAAAAATTGCCAGACTGGGGAGTGGAGGTACCCCATATTGGAGAGAATATTGTAGGCATGGTCCACATTCCTGGAATTCCAGTGTTTTGGAAGGAAATAGGGAACAGGGTAGAGAGTATATGTCATTTAGGAGTCCGGGGGTGGGGGGTGGGGTGGAGGGTGGGGGTAGGTGGGGCTCAGTGAAGCAGAGACAAAGGAGTGTCTGCTTCTGATCTCCTTCCTGTTATCCCTTAGCTGACCCACCCGGACACAGTTGAAGGTCTTGTTCTCATCAACATTGATCCCAATGCCAAGGGCTGGATGGATTGGGCAGCCCACAAGGTTTGGAGGGGCCTTCGTTCTGACATCTAGGGTGGGGACTGTCCTGGGATGACACTGCCACTGTAACCGGACAGATTCGGACCTCGAGGGAGGGCAGAGTGGGGTACAGAAATAAAGCTGTGTTGCTTTGCCCAGGTCTCTTCCCCCACAATATGCTGAACTTGTTCTCCTGCCCTGCAGTTGACAGGCCTCACCTCTTCCATTCCGGAGATGATTCTTGGACATCTTTTCAGCCAGGTCAGTGGTTGTGGAAGGCGGGAGAAGTAGAGGTGGGTGACCAGCAGGGACCTGCATGCCTTGCGGGTGGTTTCCTTCGCTGGGCTAGGCTCTGGGGTGTGAGGGTAGTTTCGGCCATTGTTGGCTTCCTTTTCCAACCCTACTTCGTCTCTTCTGCGCTTCAGGAAGAACTTTCTGGAAATTCTGAGTTGATACAAAAGTACAGAAATATCATCACACATGCACCTAACCTGGAGAACATTGAGCTGTATTGGAACAGTTACAACAAGTGAGTGGGCTGTGTGCACACGGAGAGATGGGAGTGGAGAGAGGGTCCTGTGCAGCGTGCAGGGCAGGCAGGGGTCCGTGTGCAGCTTCAGCACAGGAGTAAGGGGATCTTGCACTTTTTTTTTTTTTTACATATCATTTTATGTGCATTGGTGTGGGGGTGTCAGATTCCCTGGAACTAAATTACAGACAGATGTGAGCTGCCATGTGGGTGCTGGGAATTGAACCTGGGTCCTCTGGAAAGGCAGCCAGTGCTCTTAACCACTGAGCCATCTCTCCGGCCCCAGACCTCTCATTCTTGTGCCCTTCCTCACCCTGAGCTGCCTCTGACCAAAGATCTAGGGCACAAGTGATTATTGGTGATGTGCTTTTGGCATGTGCCTGCCAGCTTCTGTGGTCTCCTCTCCCCCATTTTAGCTGAGGGGGATCAAACCCGGTGCCTTGTGGATAGATGTTACACAGGTACTCCACCACCAAGCTGCAACCCCTGCCCCGGTATCCACTTTTCACCAGCAACAGTTGACTATAAAAACAGGGAGATGGCTTTCTATGGAGCGGGTAGCTTATCTAGATAGACAGCATGGCCCGCCAAAAACAGCATCTCTTTGAACCCTCTCCAGCCGCCGAGACCTGAACTTCGAGCGAGGTGGTGAGACGACCCTCAAGTAAGACGTTGGTAGATACAGCTTTGCCCTGTCCCTGGGTAGCAGCACCCCTTAACCTTTGTAGAGAACTTAGCTGTCTCTGACCCCCTTCTGTGTAGTGGGTTACCTCCCTTTGGGCCTTCCCCTTTGGACCCTCTTGCCGAGTCGGCTGGAGAAAGGTGGCTGGTTCCTCCTTGGAGCCGAACATCTCTCCAGCTGCTCCTCTGGGAAGTGGTGGGGGAGGAGGGGCCGGACTCACTGTCTCCTCCCCGATCCCGTGCCTCTAGGTGCCCTGTGATGCTGGTGGTAGGAGACCAAGCCCCTCATGAAGATGCCGTGGTCAGTAGTGACTTTCGGGGCAGTGAGGGAACGTTGGGGTCAGGAGCCGATCTTGCCAAGGGGCAAACTCTGGGACAGGAGGAGCAACTTTAGGAGTTTTTATTTCTATTTGGAAGTAATCGGGTCGGGGGAGGGGGGGCAGGCTGACAGAAAGAGAAAGAGAAAAGAACGGGGTCCCTTGGAGGGCAAGGGCTGTGGGGAGGGCGAGCTCATTCACCCAGCCTCCTACTTATTCCAGGTGGAATGTAATTCAAAACTGGACCCCACACAGACCTCGTTCCTCAAGGTTAGTAGTCCTGCTCTAAGCCTTGCTTGCCTCCTGGCCCCCTATCCAGGGCCATACATACTCTAAATGAACCGGCCTCTAAGCCTTGAGGGTTCAGGATGGGTCACCGAAGAAAAGAACAAAGGGACTAACTGAGGACGCTGGTGGGAAAGAGCCCCTTTGCCTCTGCGTGGGTCATCTGATATGTCTGTGTGTCCTTCTTTTCTGGGTGGCTCTTTCCTGAGCAGATGGCTGATTCTGGAGGTCAGCCGCAGCTGACTCAGGTGAGTACCCTGCCAACTATGGGATGGGGAAATGGGGTGAATTATTCGTGTCCCTGATCTGTGCCCTTTGCCACTGCTGTGGCCTTGAGCTTTCATGGTGTCTAACGATATCTCCCTGACTCCCCTCTCCCCTGGTCTTATGCCCACAGCCAGGCAAGCTGACGGAGGCTTTCAAGTACTTCCTGCAAGGCATGGGCTACAGTGAGTATTGGGACAGACGCTACTGTGAAGAAGGGAAAGGATGGTCGCGATGAGGGTAGACCCATTTTAGGTTGACTCTTGGACTCACATTTTCTTACCAGTCAAGCTCGCTGACTCTCTAGCCCCAGTTATCACTTTTATCTTTGCCTAGGCACCCACTTGAAGTTACCGGCTCCCTTCCCCATGCATCGCTGAGGGCCGGCTTATCATTCTGTTTCCACAGTGGCCTCATCCTGCATGACTCGCCTCTCTCGGTCTCGGACAGCATCTCTGACCAGCGCAGCGTCCATTGATGGCGGTCGGTCCCGCTCCCGCACCTTGTCCCAGAGCAGCGAGTCTGGGACTCTCCCTTCTGGACCGCCGGGGCACACCATGGAAGTCTCCTGTTGAATGACCCTCACCGCCCTCCCTGGTGTGGGGACCCAGCCCTCACCTCCTGCAGCACTAACCTGAGAGGTGTATCGGGGCATTGGGCCAGAGTAAGCCAGGAGAATGGGCAGATCATGCAGGGAGATGACCTTGATCTTTAATTGCTACCCTCATCTTGACCTTTAACCTGTGATTTCCTTTATCTCTTAGGAGAGATGTCCTAATATCTCTTAGAGATCCAGGCCCCCTAAATTATCCCCTCTCCCATTTTGGTGTTGAGAAGTCTTGTGTCTTCTCTCCCTGACCTAGGTGTCTGGAGGTGAGGAAATAATTCGCGGTTGTAGCTGCCACAGGGTCTCCACCGCTCCCTCCCCTCATCCCATATCTGCAAGGGTAGGAGAGTTGGTGTGTGTGTGTGTGTGTGTGTGTGTGTGTGTGTGTGTGTGTGTGTGTAAGGGTGTGAGAGGGGGCGCTCCATCCCCCAAAGCTGACAGTGGCTTTGCCTTGACTCTTCGGGCCTCTGAAGGCAATGGGCCTACATGAACGTCTCTCGGGGGGAAGGGGGAGGGGTCTGCTGGTGGGTCAGTGGTCCTTAAAATGTGACCGAAGTGTCCAGCATGTGAAAGGAAAGCTCGAAGGGCATTGGCGGACAGTGAGTAAGAGCCGTGGTGGAAGGGTAGGAGCTGGGGCCGTAGAGCGGGGCCTGGGCCCTGTGACTGCACTAACTCTGGTAGCTGTCAGAGTGGGACTAGGGGAGAGAGAGAGAGCTTAGGTCAGACTGCTTGGGACTCGGCATAAGGGTGGGAAGGGCTGCCTCGGGCTCCGACCACACTGTTAGGTGTAGAGCGTGACCTCCTGTCTCCCACGACTTCTGCTGTGACAATAAAACTGTAGAGGAAACTGAGCACCGTTATTAATCCTGGTCTGAATGTGCCTGCGGCCTGCCCCCTTCCTGTCCTCGCCTTGCTACCCCTTAAAGTGCTATAACCAGGGAGATGGCTTGTGGAGCATAAACACTTCACGCAATGTGATCCTGGGATCCAAGAAAACGATACTGGTCTTTCTATTAATATTTTTATGTTTGGGAGAGGGGGACTGTTGAAGACGTCCTTATTGTTTGTGGGTCGTTAAAGAGAAAGATTAGGACTTCAGAGATGTCATCAATATCATGCTCTTTAAGAAAGCTGACTGAGGGGACTGGAGAGATGGCTCAGTGGTTAAGAGCACTGGCTGCTCTTCCAGAGGACCTGGGTTCTATTCCCAGCACCCACATGGCAGCTCACAACCATCCGTAATTCTAGTTTCAGGGGATCGAACGCCCTCTTCTAGCCTCCAAGGGCACTAGGCATTTGGAAGACTCAAGAAAGACACAGTAAAAGTGAACTTCCTTTGAGGATTTTATTCACTGGTGGAATCCAGGGGATCTGGTAGCTAAACTATGCATAGTTCTCCAAGAGCCTGTTAAACAAATATGAGTAATGACCAGTGGAGATTCAGATGTCTTGTAGCTGTTGTAGGTTGATTCTTTCGCTCTTGAGCTGAAAGGAGGAGGGGCTGGGGAGACGGCTCAGAAGGTAAAGTCCTTGGGCAGCCATGAAGACCTGTGTTCGGATCCCTGGCACACAGGGGAAAGGCTGGGTTTGATTGTGCACCTGTAATCCCAGTGCTGGGAGGCAGAGACAGGAGGACACTTGGGTGCTCACTCCCTGGCCTGTCTAGCCAATCAGTGGGTCCCATTTCAGTTGGGACCTAGTGTTGGGAGAATTTTCTTCCTGAGGGTTTGGAACTAAGCAAAAGTCTAGCCCCTCCTTATGAGGTCCCAATGACAAACCAAAGTTCACCCTGGGAAACCAACTAAGCTTAGAGACTGTGGGTGACCTACGGCAGGCAGGCACACTGGAAGGTCCGCACCCAGCATCGGCGATGACTCCCCATTGCTCTTCAGATGGGGCTCCCTCTTCGTCTCCCAGGCCCTATACTGTAGCTCCTCTCTGAGACCCCAAGGGCTCATGGAATCGGTGCAGAAATGGTTGGGAGGAGTGGCTGGATTCTCAGGTGGGGGTCCGGTGACCCCGCTTCCTTCCTGTGTGTCAACACGCCCAGCTATGAGGATCTTTTGCAAACAGGCGTGGTGGTGATGGGCTGTTTGATTTAGAGGGTTGTGCTGGACAACACCCAGTCTCCAAAAATTAGGTGTAGAGTGATGGATGAACACACTCCAAGTCCACCTCTGGCCTTCACGTGTGGGTGTGCATACATATACTTAAACACTTAGGAGCACACCCCCCCCCACACACACACACACACGCACGCACGCACGCACGCACGCACGCACACGCAAACAAGTAAAAATGAGAAAGTACCTTTCTAGAAGTGTCAGAAGGAACAATGTGGATAGAAAGTTATGGGTTTATTAAAGTTTGCTTTAGGGAAACCTCACTTGCACCATTTTCTCAATGACATTGACTGGCAGACTGAGCCACTTGGCATCAAATGCTCACATTTAGACATGGTACTGAGACAGGCTTATGTCCTTGATGCTGATGTTTTTTTTCCTTTTCTTTCTTGGGCTGGGGATTGAACCCAGGACCTTGTACATGCTAGGCAAGTGCTCTACTACTGAACCATGGCCCAACCCGTAATCCTGTTTAGATGTTGTCGGCTAGTGTCAGGAAGGGGGTCAGAGTTGGCTGCTGGATGGAGGTTGGGTCAGACAACCAAGATCGCTGAAATGCCACACTGAAGAAAAACAGAGCATGGCTATAATCACTGGGCTCTTAGCAAAACACGAGGAAAAGGCGAAGAACTAAGGCCTCGACCAGCCTTTACGGGTATAGCTGCTCTTGTGTATTATGGAAGGGAAGACAGATCTTTGCTTGGTATCTGCCGACAAAGGTCATACTGTCAGCAGAGTAACTTTCACAACTGGGAACACATTTCACTTAAGTGTACCTGTATTCGCATACAACTACAGATGTTTCTGCTCCTCCAGAAATCTAAGGTAGGAGAAAAATGGTCTGCAGGAACCGGGGGAGGTGGGAGGCTTTGCTGTCCTAGATTGACCCTATTTTGTCCTGCCATGTTCCAGTTCACCCATGGAGACACAGTGCCCCCCTGTGGTCAGCAAGGTCCTCTGTAACTTTACCTGGCCCCTCCCTTTCCATGTATTACAGCCCCATTGTTCTTCATAGTTGAATATAAGGCTGTTCTGAAATCCAGGCATGCTAAGGACTCAGAGGCTCAGGGGAGCGCAGTACAATTTGACAGAAGCAGAGTTATAAAGTACCAGCTTACTCTCTCTTTAGATTTGGGATTCCTGTCTGAATCTTGTTTTATTCCCAAGGAATGTAAGTGCTCTCCAGACTTTAGGTAAGGTGAGAGACTACTCAGTGAGAACGAGGAATCAGAAGAACAAAGTGAAAAGGAGACTCACAGTTTTATATAGAAAACCTGGCGAGGTGGCGGTGGCGCATGCCTTTAATCCCAGCACTTGGAGGTAGATCTGAGTTCGAGGCCAGCCTGGTCTACAGAGTGAGTTCCAGAACAGCCAGGGCTACACAGAAAAATCCTGTCTTGAAAAACCAACTAAACCAGCAACAACAAAAACCCACCAAAACTAACACACACACACACACACACACACACACACACACACACACACACACCTCATAAAGACATTTTTCAAGGAACAGTTGTGAGCGTCATAATGATATTTTGGTCAGCCCAATATATCTAATATGTGATGTTGGTTCCGTAAGATCCTCTTACAGATTCCAGAGCTTTCTTGGTTTGTATAGTGCATTCTCTAAAGTTTCACAATGACAAATAAACAAGAAAAAAATCATCTACTGTATGTTTCTCAGAACATATCCCCATCTTTAAGCAATTATGATTATACCAGAAAAACAGCGACATTACAGTAGGCAGGGGGAAGAAAAACATAGCCAGGGAAATACTGGAGTACGAGGCAGCACTTTTTAAAAAGAGATGCAAGAATAACTGGAAAAGACGGGTTTGGTGAGGAAATCTGGTGCCCAGAACAATGTAGCTTATTTTTAACCAGATCTCTCCGCTGGTAGACTCTAATGATGAGTCCCTAGGAAATGTAGGGCACACTCTGTGTTTGACATACGACAAAGGAGAGTCACTAAGAACACAAAACAAAAATTTATTCTACAGCCAGGACTTTGTAAGCATCCCCACAGACTGCCCCTGAGGCATAATCCATTTTGCCTTTCCTTTGCTAGCAGGAATGGGCTGCCCTGAGGTCAGCTAGCGAACTAGACGGTGTCCACACACATCCCACCCCACTAAGTCCTGGCAGCTGTTCATTGTATCTAAGAACAAGGGACTATCCTCTGCTGTGAGGGAGACAAGATACTCCACAGCTTCTTCAGGGAAGGACCAGGAGGCATGAGCTATCCCAGCAGAGTGAGTCTGGGCTTTAGCTCACCCCTCTCTTTCTGGGGTACTGGGGATCAAACCCAAGCCCTCACGCACACCAAGTAAACAGCTTTCAAACGTGGATTCCTGGCTGATGGCCTGCCCGGCTCCAATAGACTCTCTCAACTCTGGTTTCTTTTGCATTCTTCACAAATTACCTTCTTGTGACTGCAACATCCAAACCAAAGGAAAACTATCCTTCAGCCTCACAGCAAAGGAGAGGCAGGAAAGCTCCCAGGAAGGTTACTTCAAAAGACAGCGCATTGGTAGCAGAAACAGAAAGCTGGCTCTCTGCAGGAGGTGGGTTGGAAGCCTAATTCTTGAGTTTTCTCCCTAGGTATATACAAAATATACCAGGGAGTGACTGTGAGAGATGGACAAGTGACAAGTGTGAACTGAAGTTCCTGGAAAGAAGTTCACACATTGAACCTTCTACGAGGCTGATGAACTGATGGGAACTTACGTGACTGTGGAGAAGTTGGAATGTTGCAGGTCTGGTGCTTAATTACAGTGTGTCTTCGGCTCTCTTTAGCCCCCTAGATAGCTATTCATTATTCGCCTTTGGGTCTGACTTGATACCTTTCTGACTATCAGGTAAAATCTTTTGGGATGAATTAATAGATCACTAACTTTTGTTAACCCTGAAAACTAAGAATGTCATCAAATAGCATCTGAGGCCTTTGAAGTTTTGACTTATGACTTTGTCCTGCTACTATATTAAAAAAATGATGAATGCTGGGTATGGTCTTGCACCCCTTTAATCCCAGTACCTGGGAGGCAGAGGCAGGTGGATCTCTTGGAGTTTGAGGCCAGCCTGGTCTATATGGTGAGTTCCAAGCTAGCAAAGCTGCATAGAAAAATCTCTGACTCAAAACAAACAAAAACCAAACCATCAAAACAAAAACAAAAACCAACCAAGTGATCCAAACAAAAGCAACTACAAACCACAAAGCTGTCACCATGGTGGAACATGGAATGTGGGGCAACCTCAATCTTTTCTGGGCCATAGCCACTCCTATGTGGCCCCAGAGAAAACTTCCTCTGTTTTACATCATCACAGGAAGGTGTGAAAATTGTCACACACACATTCCTGATTATCCCACTAGCCTGGATCCTCTTTCCTCCTCTTGAGGTCTCATGTTTCTAGTCATCCTCTGTTCTGGCCTTCCTAAGGCTGCACCAGCCGCCCACAGCTGCCCACCTTCTTTCTGCCGAGGTTCTTATGCCAGTTCCAATTCCGTGCTGTTTTCATTTGTGCTTTCTGAAAGCAGTCTGTCCTTCTGTTGGTCCAGACACTCTCCCTGGTGTTCTCCAGATGGAGCCACCCTCTAGCTTTATGTCTGCTCTTGACACAAGATTCTTCCAACTAAACACATGTCTGGCCCTGGTTGGTAAGAGTTTGGGGGGGAAAAGAAGGAAATAGATATGGGGAGGAAAGAAAATGTTGGTGGCTTTGGAGAAGAGGCCACAGGGGAATCCGGAGTTCCTGGGAGGGATGAGGACAGAGAGCTCACGACTCACCAGCAGCTTGAGATGTCTGATGGCACCAGTGGTCCAGAAACACTGGGAGAGCCACAGTGGGCCAGGACGCTTCTCCTTCAGGTTCCTTTCACATGTAGACACGTTCCTGTGATAGGGATAATTCTCTAGCTTCCATACAACCTCAGCTCTTTCAATTTACCCTGCCAAAGTTCTGGCAAGATCATTTCAATGTAAACATAGCAGGCCATGATGACGGGCAGGACAGCTCTGTGTTCCTGTGGCTTGACCAGAGCAGTACCAGCCATTTCTAGCCTCAGGCTTCTGTTTGGTTTTACTCAATAAGACAATAACAAATCAGAACAAGAAAATAATTTATTTTAGCACCTTCCGGCTTGGGTCCCTGTAGATCAAAGACACAGCTGTCTGGACCGGTCCTTTCCAGTTTCTACTAACAGCATGCTGATTACTGAGCTCCAGGGTATTGTACAGTCCTTTGCACATTCCTTGCTTTGTCTGAGCCCTGCCCACACACACCTTACTGAATACCCTTCCATTCAGCTTCCTCAATTATGCCGCACACTCTCTGAGCTGATCTGGGATTCTAACGTACAGGGTGAACATGGCTGTTTGGGGGGAAAACCACAAGGAAGAAAAGACTATATGGAGCTTTTCATCCAGTTATAGGAAAGTGAGTTTTGAGGCCCCACTGGCTAAGAGATCCAACTATTTAGTTTTTCTGAATGCCAGTTTTCCCGGGTTACTAGAGGGATAATGTCGCTGCTGGAGTTGTGCCAGTGAGGTGATCTGTGTACAAACCTTAGCACAGCACCTGTCACGCTGCAGGTGTTCCCTGCCGAGGCCAGTGCACTGGGGCACACACCAGGTTCTCCTGGGCACCTCACTCCCTGCACCTACTGCTGGGAGGACACCAGGACAGTGCTCCAGGGAAGAGCTCTACCCTCCCCCTCTCCTGGTTTTGCCTACCTCTTGCTTTCTCATGGATCCCTGGTTGTGGATTTAGATGTCTTACTTTTTCAGGAGGGGAATAAGGGCAGAAAGGAGACAAAGACTAGACAAGAAGGATTCAGGAGAGTTTGTTCATGTTAAGGCTATTTGGGCTATCGCACTGAAAATCACAAGAAGGGGCAAACTGGGGAGGGCCAGTGAGCTTCCGGGCACATCTTTCCTTCCTCGTCTCTTCACCAAGTGTGAGGTGCCAGGCGAGGGCAGGGAGCAGTTACCCTGTCCTCCTCAATTCCAGGCTTTGGCTGCTCTGGGCACTGTCCTTAGTAGCAGCTGGTCAGGCAGGAGAAGGAAAGTCACTAGGTGCTTACAGCGCAGAGTAATCACCCTAGGTATTTATCTGGCGCCGGTCCCCCTCTGCAAACACTGGCTTTTAATCCTTCAGCCTATGGCAGCCAGAAAGAGAGAAGCTCAGAGAATGGCAAGAGTGTCCCTGAGGCCACACAAGACTCGGTGTGAAAACAGGAACTTGGTGGGGATGGCAGGCAGGTACTGAGAGTGGGTGAGGTAGTTAGAAGGAAAAATACCTAGCCCCTGGTTTCTGGTTTAGACGCCCTTCCTCCTCTAAATGCTGCTCTAATTCTCAGCTCCCATGGGTAAGGGGACAGGGCTGTTGAAGTTTTAGCAATCCTTCTATGTCTGGGGGGAATGGCCTGCAACCACTGAAGTGACTACGGGTCCCAGTTCTACCCACACTCCCTTTTCCCCTATCAGAGATGTGAATTACAGCGTGGTTAAAGGGGAAAGGGTAAAATGGGCATTTTATTACATATCATAGCAACCCCGGAGTGATGGTCTTGACACCAATGTTCCAGTTAAATAGGCACTCAGACAAAACATCCTTTCTAAGTCTTGAGCAAGAACAGGGTCTCACACATATAAAATCTGGGAGAGTCCGTGCCTAGTAAATGCTTAGTCTCACTGAAAAAAGGTCTGAGGACCAAAGTCATTTAGGGGTGTCCTCAGGAGAAGCCATCCTAGATAGGTCCATCAGAGCAGTGAGGAATCTCTCAGGCCCACAGTGCAATAAGAGCCATGAAGGCAAACCCAGCAGCCACACAGCCATACTTGGCCAGAGGGGCCTCAGGACAGGCCAGCTCCCGGGGCAAAATTTCTAGGAAGGTGACATACAGGAATGTGCCAGCTGCTACTCCCTCTAATACAGCCTGGGCTAATCCCTGCGCTGGTCCTGAGGCCCCTCCAGTTACAGTCATCCCTAGGGCTAGGCCCACAGGAGACATGAGTGCTAACGACAGTATGCAGAATGCGGCCCACCGTGTCCCGGTGCCCATCTTCAGCAGCCGGAGGCCTACACTGAACACCACGAGCCCCTTATGAGCCAGAACGGCAACACAGAGCTGTATAGTAGCGGCCACTGATGTCTGCAGACCCACAGCTAGACCTTCAAACACGGAGTGAAAGGACAGAGAGAGCAGGAGGATGAGGGCGCGCAGGGGACCCCGTGAGGGTGAAGGCACAGGTGGGTGCTTGTGGAATCCAAAGGCATGGGTCCCTCCCCATTCCTCTTCCTGCACGGTGGATCTTCCAGCATCCCCATGGCAGTACTGCAGTGCCAGCGACTCCAAAAGGAAGACGAAGAAAAAGCCCAGGGAGATGACGAGCTCTCCATAGGGATACTCCACCTAGGAACAGAAAGA